TTCACTGTCCCTTTCTGTCGAGGATATCTCAGGGTAGAGTCATTTGTCTCATAGCTCCACATGTCATCCTTTACACCACCACTGCCCACATTCGACTTTCCTCTTTGTCACTCTGAAGTGCTCTTTCCTGGCGTTTTGTCACTGCCAATTACACTGAATGTGCCATCACTGGCGACGAGGGTCACCGCGGGCCTGCCGCTCTGTCCCACCACCAACAACCAGCTTAATGAAAGCTGAGCAGCCAGGGCAGCGGAGAGCGGGCTTCTGTCCGTCAGCCGGCCTGTCCATCTTGCCCCCCTTCTTCTTCCTCTGTGGTGCTCTAACAGCCCCCCTTTCTCCCTTCACGGCTGGACTCTATTAATATCCTCTGTCGGAGTGTTAATGTTGTAGAGGTCCAGTGAAGTGACACGCGTGGCAGCACGGCTGTAATTGCTAATCAACGGACAGTTAGATCCCCGCCACCCCCCCTTCTCTTTGATTTCTCTCGCTTCTTCTTTCTCCCATTTCGATCCCTCTCTCTCGCCTTCTCTGTGACCTTCTTGCTCTGTCTCTCTCACCTAATGAATCCAGCTCAAATAAAGTGTGGGTGGGCGAGCAGGCGGTTGCTCGGCCTAAACGGTCAGTCAGCTGCAGCTGATGTGCATAAGAGAGAGAAACAGGGTTGTTAACAAGCATGAGAAGAGTCTGATAATTAAATAACTGCTGATTTCCTTCCATCTTTTCTCCTCTTGCTGCTTTGCATCAAGCTCCTTTCAGCTCCAGTGTGAATTTCTGATGTTAAAATGTTGTTGTGGGGAAAAGTGAATTCTTATTTAATGTGTTTTCTGGCTTTACGCTCGTTATCTGCGCTCCACAGACTCAGAGTGTAATTTAGCTCCACTGTGCACAAAGAGCAGAATTGATGACTCGAGGTGTTGTAAAAATACATAAGTAGGCCGTCGTGACTCGCACTCAGTGACGTGCACTTCGTACAGTTTCTCTGTGTTTCTTTGTGCTTACAGTTGGTGTGGTCATTTTTGTCCTCTTAGTTCCAGTGAAGGGAAACCCCAATGGATAGATAGAAAGACGTTTTTATTGTCCCCAAGATGACATTTGTTTTCACAGTGTGTACACACAAACATATAGTCAGTCTGTGACTTCTGCTACGGCGAGCTCTCCTCCTGTATCTGTGACCTGTTGGTAATAGTGTGGACTCAGAGGGTGTTTGGTGTCATTCATTAGTGCCAGCTGAAGGTGTGTGATGGCTCTGTCAGTCATGTCTGGGAGGCTGGGGGTAGGGAGGCAGATGATCTTGGAAACAGCTGTTTTACTTGGACATGGTTAACATGTTGAAGAAGCACAGAGAGCGGTGCAACAGGATGGGCTGGGCAATGCTTTTGTAATGGCAGCAACAGCAGGATAGAGGCAGCTAGTTTGTGTCAGCAGATAAATGACATGGATTTCTGCAGTAGCCTGATTTCTTCAATCAGAAACCTAGTAGGAGATTAAAGAAACCTGAATTCCCAGCTGCACTATTTCTACATGTAAGCTTGTCCTGTAACTGGCTGTTCACATGCGAGCATGTGCATACTGGGACTACTGTGACAGCAGCAGGAGGAGGATGGTCATTACACACAGTGACACATCTCTTATTTAGTCCTTCTGAAGCTGAGTAGCCTCTATAGGTAGAATTAAATTATTATAAAAGAATCCCCAGTGCTGACAGTTTGACTGTTTGTAGGTTAAAGGCTGTGCATGCAGATGGGGTTGGCTGTGGCTCACGAGGTAGGGCAGTCGTCTCCTGACCTGCAAGTTGGTGGTTTGACTCCCGGTCTCCCCGCGTGCCTAAGTGTCCCTGAGCAAGACACTGAACCCCAAATTGCTCCTGGTGGCTTGACTAGCGGCGTTGTGTGGCAGCCTGTCGTCATCGGTGTGTGAATGGGTGAATGGTGTATCATCTCCTGTAAAGCACTTTGCCCAGTGCAACACACTGTGGAAAAATGCGCTATATAAATACAGTCCATTTACCACTTATGTGCATGTAAACATACTAAATACACAAAAGAAGATTAAGACTTGCATAAAGAAATTGTTTTCACAGCCCCCCCACTCTATGTCCTGGATCACAACACATTGCACAGTGGCCTGTAATGTTTGAAGAAAATTGGAAAATTGTGAAGGTTGCAATTATATTATCATTCATTACAACAGTCGTGAGGTAAAGAGAAGCAAAGTGTTGTCTTTAGTTGTGTGTGTTTGACCGCCGCAGCCACACAGGACTGAACACAACACCAAACGCACTCAGATCCCTGGAGCAAGCTCCCTGGCAGCTTTAACTAGCCAACATGTTAGTCCCAGTCTCGTCTTTGTCATGGAATAAAATGTTGTTAACCTGTACATTTGTCACAGGTCTTAATAACAAACTTAACACTAGATCACGTCCTGAGATGTTTTTCTGTCTGAAAACTCTGACGTCTGTGTCAAACATGTTGCTTCCTCTGTGCAGGGCATGCTGCTGAAGAGAGGTGGTAAATCCCTCAACAAGGAGTGGAAGAAGAAGTATGTGACGCTGTGTGACAACGGGCTGCTCACCTACCACCCCAGCCTGCATGTAAGACAAAACACACACACACACACCCACCCACTGGTCTTTCACAGCTAAATATCTAACCCTTAAAAGTAAAGTCCTTTGAGGACATGTTGGCCGGTCCTCACAATGCAGAAATGATAACTGATTAGACTTTAGCACTCTGCCAGCCTGCGTCGACCTCTGTCTCTCCTGTGTGTGTGTGTGGGCTCACAGACACTCACAGTGTTGATGGCTTGTGTATTAATTAGGACTCGTCGTCTGTTTGCCCACGTCCGTGTTGATGATGTGAATATCAGCTGTAATGTCTTTGCTAATTGTCCCGGCTCTCTGCCCTGTTGGCACGGTCTTCTGCCCCGACGCTGCTTTATTATCACACTCCGACACAAGCACACACTTTGCCTTTCACTAGCTCTGCCTTTCCTCCCACTCTCAACAGGGTTTGTCCATGTATTTTGTCAGTGCACTGCAGCTTTTTCATTTGATATCGGTATTTTTCAATTCCTTGTTTTGACAAGTCTGTGTGTAAAATTAATAATCTAACTCAGACTGACAGAAGAGAATCACGTAGAACTGAAACTAACTGTGATTTCCTTTGTAGATTGATTTGATTTTTGATTTGATTTGATTTATTCTTTCAAGCATGTAAAAACAGTTGATATGACAACACACATAATTTTACACATAATCCAATATCAATGTGCTTATACCTAGTACATGGTTGAATGGAGTAGGAAGAAGTCAGACTTATCCAGTCCTACCCCATGACATCATCTTACCATCATTGGTTTGCAAGCAGTAAATGATTCACTTCTACCCACACAAGTATTATGCTAAAAAAAAAAATTATAACAGTGTTAACAAGATTAACCTGCCAAATAATTTGTTTTGCTCAATTTGTACATAAAATGCTGGAGAGCAGTGCAGAAAGCTTCGGTACAGAAGCAGCCAGTTCAAATGACTTGTTTTAACCATGAAGCCAGTTGAAAATGTTCACTTTGCTTTTACATAAGACAAGAAAAGCAGCAAATCCTCACATGCAACTAATTATCAAAAGAGTCGGATTATTTTTATTAAAAAGACAGATTCAGCTCCACAATCTTAAAGTCAAATGAAACCAGAGAATGGCTCCTCTGACCACAAGACTGAGGTTTCAAACAAGAGGCTTTGTACGTTTAATTCCCAGCATCCTCCTGGTGAGGTGCTCTGCACCAGGCGCTGCTGTGGCCCGGCTCATGCCTGAGATGTTGCCAGGCTTTGTACAGAGAAGCACAAACTGCAGACATCCATCAGTAGCAGTCCTTCACGCAGTAAATTAGTGCTAAATCTCATCACTTAGCACGTCAACACACACAAACCCCCTCCAGCATCAAAATGCCAAGTTTTCCTGTTGCATCTGTAGCTTGGGTGTCAATTAGCATGTTTGCAGAGGCTAATCAGATGAAACTCAATCAATGCTGCTAATTGCCCAACTATGTGCAAAGATATCACATTAATGCTGCTAATTAAGTGGATGGCAATAGATGCCACCTAACTGGTAAGAAAAGTCTCCTGTTAGGAGAAGAGGCCCGGGCCTGTGATTCTGAACTGGGGAGAATGTGCTGTTGTCACTGTGGGGGGGTGAAGTTATTTATTGATGGATTTATTTAATCAGGTTCAGTACGCATTAATCAACATTCAGCATGTGTGACGAGAGAAAAGTGTGGAAGAGCGCAGCGCTCAACCAAAGACAGCAAAGTGTAGCTGAGGCTAAAATCCAAGAGTCGATGAGATGTTTCCTGGATAAGTAATGGGAATGAACCGTAGTTTGTATTTTTGTGTTGTTTACATGTTTTGTTGTGAACTTTAGCTGGACTTCCTCCTCATCACTTCTTCATGTTTCCTGTGTGATCGCAGAGCTTCTTCTTCTTCTTCTCCTGCTTTATCTGCTGCTGTCTCTTTATCCATCGATCGGGTTTCGTCCGAGCTCGCTCTGTATGGATCCGTGTTTCGCTCGGCGTCAGCAGTATTCAGCTCTGTTTATGTTCCATTTTTCATGCTCGCTATTAAACATGCACTTTATACACTCATACATACACACACTCAAACCGCTATAAACACATTTGCTTCCTTCGACTCCTAAAATGATGAATTTTCTCTGCCACACACACTCACCACCTGTCGTCTGTGTGGTTGGTCGATACACACATCCGTCCTGGACGCCGCTGCATGGCGCGGCGATCAGGCCGATGATGAAAGCTCTCTGATGCAAATGGAGACTCAATTACTGTGGTCAATCTGTCGGAGGTTGGTGTGTGTGGAGAGTTTACCCAGCAGGCCTCTGGCTCGAGGGCTCTCCGGTGGCTTGTTAAGACGCCGTCGAGAGCACTTGGCTTTGAATTGGTCTTTTGTCAGCGGCGCTGCCAGAGGAGAGGCAGGACGCAGGCAGAGACCGAGCATGTGGACGCGCCTGTCCTGGTATCTCTGTGAGGACATGCTGTCTGGGCATCACTGCTTTAAACAGCTGCTTGAGGGTGATGCTTTAGGTTAATGTGAGAACCGTGTGCAAGAAATGTTGTTCCCAGATTTGGTTTATTGCACACATTTTATATACACTACACGCACCATGTATTTCCTGTCTGTCCGTCCTAGAAGAGGGTCCCTCCTCTGCTGCTCCTCCTGACGTTTCTTCCAGTTAAAAGTTGTTGTTTTTTTTTCAGCGATCAATTAATCAGAACCTTATTTGTAATTCACCTTTCATACAGGATTCATGCGATTCAAAACACTGAAACAACAAAGTTAAAAAAGAGACTAATGCAATAATAATTTAATGAATGTTTAATTCTAATAAATGAGGTAAATAAAATTATATATTTCAATTAAAAAATCTAGACTAGATTGGATGGAAAAATAGAAAATGACAAAACACATAAATGAGTATGGATAAAACATTCAAATATAAATGAAATAATGGCATAAAAAGGCTGTAAAATATTCTTATGAAAAGCCAAACGAAAGAGACGTTTATGTTTTTCAGGCAGTTCTTCCTGACCTGACTCGAGGACGTTGTGTGTTGTACAGATTATAAAGTTACCTGAGACACATTTTGTGATTTGTGTAGAAATAAAATTTGACTTGACGACTCCTAAAAACTGACATTCGCACTGTGCATGTGAAGACCATCACCAAACGTCACAGTAACAGACAGCCCTGTAAACAAATGAGGACCTGCACGTTCTTCCTTCATGATGTTCTCACTTATCTTATGTGCCCTCCCTTTTTAAAATGTCTTAACTTTCCAAAAATCTCCTCACTTTGGAAAAATATCCCTACTGTGCAAAAAAAAAACCATTTTCCAGAATGTATTTTATTTATAAAAATATTCTGAAACTTTAAAAATATCCTCACCTTCATTAAACATCTCCACTGTCTAAAAAATGCCTTAATTTGTCAGAAATATTCTCACTGCTTTAAAAGTAAAAGTGGTTTTGACTCTCTGGGTTTAAAGGACGTGGCTGGTCCTCACAAAGATAGCAGGACCAGACCCCCGTCTCTCGGGCACTGGTTTTAATCCGGCCCAGCGGGTTGTGTTGCTTTGTCTGTCCTCGCCTCCTTCATGTTGAAGAGGAGACCAGCCTCCCACGATGCCGTGCTCTTCTCAGGTCACTGTGGACCCTCCGCCCACCTCAGAAGAGTTGGGGGTGGATTTAACAAGCGCCTCTTGTTGATCATTAACGCTCCTTCTCGTCCTTTCATTCACACATCTTAACAGGCCGGAGGAGAGCTCGTTGTAGGCATCAGGCGTGTCGGCGATGGGCGCAGCCAATCGGAGTCTGAGTGGTTGACCACTTCAGCACCACTTTGAGGGATTAGCGCAGCTTTGTTTCCATTGTGTGCTTTAGGTTATTAGGAGCTTTATTATCCCCTCCCACCAAGGAACGACACACTCAGGATGATGGGATCACTTGCAACACAGCTTAACTCGTTTTTGTATTTAGTTATAATATCATTGTTATGTTATTTTGTTTGTTTACAAAATTCAGTGATTAATTTGACAGATTTCTGTTGAAATGTCACATGAAGTGATATTGAACCCAAAGCTTTAATTTGTTTAGAAACAAAACAAAGAGTTTTTCTGACTTAAATTTAGTTTTTAAAGTCTTAAAAATAAATCTGACCATGTAGGACTGATCAGTGTATTCTCTGTTTTCTCAGTTTTTAATTTTTTATTTATGTTCTACTTAATAAACAAAATGTCTTCATAGTTCATTTAAACAGATGAAAGGGGAGGTGAAGCAGAAGGCCTCTGGTGTGTCCCAGAGTCACATCAGACCTTCTGTTCTCAGCTGCCTGCTGTGGTTTTAACAGACTTGCACTTTTTCGTGTGTGTGTGTGTCTGTCAGGTCATTGTTTGCTGATTTGTTTCTTACTCCTCTTCCTCCTCTCTCAGGACTACATGCAGAATGTCCATGGTAAGGAGATCGACCTGCTGAGAACCACGGTGAAGGTGCCGGGGAAGAGGCCGCCTCGCGCCGTGTCCACCTGCGCCGCCACACCGAGCCCCAAAACCAATGGCCTGACAAAGGACATGAGCAGCCTGCAGCTCGGACAGACACCAGGTGAGACCTCAGGATGAATGGATGGAGTTTTGCCTTCTTGCTTTACCTTCTCCTTTGATTATAAGACAAAAGGTTGAGTTTTAAACAGACAGCAACCAGAATTTCAAGGTCAGAACGTTTTAAATATTAATGCCGGTATATTTAGTAATATATTATATCACAGCTTGTGTTCAGACAGAGAGGAGTCCAGATTTTAGCTGAGACAAATGAGACCCAAAGAATTCTGATTTGTGTGTTTAGATTAAAGTTGCAACTGGAGCCAGAAACCAGATTTACATATCTGGAAACTAATCATCAACAGTGAAACCAGATCAGAAGGTTCTTTTTTTAGGCTTCAGCAACCTCAAAATGAAAACTCGACATCAAGACCTGGTTGTTATTTAATAACAGTGTTACCTAGAAAACAAATAATGTCCCCCCCATGCATTCGGTAAATAAAAGTGAAATCAGACCAGTAAATGTCATAAATAATGAAAAATATAATGAAAACTAGTGACATTATTTATCAGTTTGCACATTTAAGAAATGCGGCTGCACAAAGACGTCCACATACATTAATGTGCAAATGTTTTAGGCACCAAAGAAAAGTGAGGAGTCATAAACTGTTTGCATTTATCAGTTATCTTCATCCATCTGATCAGACTCCTCCCCGATGATGTGGTGTGACGGAGCTAAACATCTTCAGTTTACACTAACATATTTTGACCTACGTCTTCTCAGCTATGCCTGATCCCAGGTTCTGTAGCTTTGTAGTCCACAGGATGAAGTTGCTGTTTAAAGGAAGCTGCAGAGGTTGTCTGCGTCATCTAAGTGGGCAGCACGTTTCAAAGTCTGCAAAGGTCCAGTCACCTTTACCTCTCAGCCGAGACCGAGGAACAACCAGCAATTAGACCCTCATGAGTGCATTTATTTTTTAATTGTGCCACTAATTGCTGCTTCTGCTCCTTTATCATAAACACTTCCTGAATCAGTAAATGTTGAGGAGATGAAACAAAAAGCAGCAGGAGAATAAAAGCCAGGAGTTCAGCCTTGGAACACACAGTCTTATCACCTGAAGGAAGACGTTGTAAAACAAAAGGTGGAGAGACGCAGGTGCCCCTCCGTGTTGTACACACACACACACACACACACACACAAAAGCAGCTCAAATGAGGCGGCTGTTTAAATCACACACTCGCACATGGAGCGCACAGTGATCCAGGAGGCCCGAGCTAATAGCATGAATATTCAGTGAGCCGTACTCTCTACTAATTATTGTCATGAATATTAATGCAATCAGAGTCCTGGCTCCGCTCAGCCAGCACCAAGAAATGAGCTGTAATGAGAGAATGAGGGAGGGGGGAGGGGGGAGGACTCACCCGGCTGTTGGACCACGCAGCCTCTCACCAACTCAAGGGTTTGATTTAAGCAGCCAGCTTGTAAGAGGCTGCCTTTTATGGCCCCCTTGTGTTTCTGTGTGTGTGTTGTGTGGCTGACTGTGTGTTTGGACGCATGCGCTCAAAGAAAGAGAAAAGGAAAAACACCCATCTTAACATTTCACCTCAGCTTTAAAGAGATTTTCACTAAAATAAGATTAACGATGGGCTGAGATAGACGATGGCTGTTCCCTTGTTTTAGGTTTTCTTTACAAAAAAGGAGAGAGGGCGGGGGTTCCAGTGAATTTATTGCATTTTCTATTTAAAATGAAGCAGCATTAATCAATAAACAGTGGATCAGTTGACAACATGTGAAAAGAAAAGTATTTTCTTTTAGCTCCTATCAGTGGTGGAAAGTAATTTTGTCATTTGACTCAAATTTCACAGAGTTCTGAGCTTATTTTACAATATTGTGTAAATGCAGGCAATGTGTTTAGCGGCTCTTCTTCTGAACATTGTTGTCAGTTTGTCGTGATGGCGTCGGCCCAGGTGAGCCCCGATTCTCTCTCCTCTCTCAGGTTCGGTGACCACCAGCTCGTCGGTGTCTCAGATGGTGAGCGGCGTCAGCTTGGTGTCGTTCAACAGTCGCGGCATGGAGGGGATGCACCAGCGCTCGTACTCCGTCTCCAGCGCTGACCAGTGGACCGACGCCACTGTCATCGCCAACTCTGGAGTCAGCACAGGTAACAGGGCTCCCTCAGATCAGGATTTAGTTTTTTGGTATAGAAATTTGTCAGTTCGCAGTTTGTGCTTGTGGCTCATTGGTTCATGCTTTTTCTTCTTTGTAATTTTCATTTTTATAAACAGAACATTATGTTTTCCTCTGTACAAATATGAAAAACCTTCCCTTCACCCCACCCAGTCTGTGTCAGGTCACTGATCTCCATTATCAGACCCATGTTTTAATCTTAGGCCTCTTCATCATTTGTGACCTGAAAACCTTAGATGAGTAAAGTTTGCAGCGTTGCCGACAGCCTGCCACGCTGTCGCTCCTGTGCTGCTCTGTTCACAGGGACGCCGCTAAAATGTGACTTAACTGATAAACTGTGAGTCCTCTGGGCGACATGCCAGCTCTTGGTGCAGTCCTGCTGTTGAACGTAGTGATGTAGTCCTGATGATTCTGAAGAAAGGGTTAGAACAAGAGCAGTAGTGGACAAAGTAATTGGATCCTGTACTGAAGTAAAAATACCATTACCACACTAAAAATACACGACTACAAGTAAAAGTCTGGGATTCAAAACCTTGCTTAAGTAAAAGTACAACAGTATAGCAAAGTACTCTTAGAGTATCAAAAGTACAAGTACTCTTTAGGAAAAAAGTGTCCCCGACGGTGTTTTTCTGTTATATGTAACATTGTTAGTGCGTGAATCATTGCAGTATTTATGCAGTATTTAGAACTTTAGTCCTGTAGTTGTTTAAAGTTGCTAATCTACATCAGTGTTCAGTGTAAATCTATAAGACCCTGTTTTCATCTTAGTGACAATGATAGATTATCTGTTGTGTTGATCAGAGAGGTTTGTATTTAAAATCACCAAATCTAGATGCATGTGGTTTTTACTGGGCAGCATCTGGATGAGAAATGATAATCATCAAAGTAATTAGTAATTAAAGAAGTCAGGTAAATGTAGTGGAGTAAAAAGTACTCTATTTGGCTTTGAGTAGAGTAGAAGTACAAATCACCAGAAAAAGAAAATGCTCAAGTAAATTACAAGTACCTTGAATTAGTATTTAAGCATAATACTTTAGTAAATGTTCTTAGTTACTGCGATTTTTTTTTTTTCCCGCTGAGTGTATGTAAATGTCCTAAAGCTGCCGGGCACAGATCAGGTCCACACGCGCAGCTCCACTGCAGGCGGCCTGCTGGAGTTCAGGAGGCCCCAGTGTGGAGCTCTGTAGGGGAGCCTGTCTCCCATCAGCCCACCTGCTAATGCTGCGTTAACTGCTAGTCAAGGTAATGGGCTCTGAGTGTGTGTGCACTGTATTACCTTATTGTAGACCTTACAAACACACACACCGACAGCTGTCAGCACCAGCGTGTGTGTTGCTGTGACAGTAAACTTGACTGACAGCTCTGTTGTGCCCTTCATCAAATAACGTTTAAAACTGTGAAGTACTTTGTGTGGAGTCCCGGGGGCCACGCACACGTCCACAGCTGCACACAGATTTGTACAAGTCGGTTCAGTTACAGTTTGTTTTCTCAAACAGCAACTCTATGCACACCTTCACCACCTCTACCTGATCTGGTGATGAGCGTGCATGGAGCACACTGTGTATGATGTCGTCGTCTCCAGGTGAAGTGGCCACGTCTCCTCTTGAGGGCCATGTGGTCAGTGCTGCTGCTGCGAAGCGGCCGTGGTCCAAACTGTTGATGAGTTAGTCGAGGGAGAACCCTCCAGAGACCACAGTCAGAGGGAGGAGAGAGACTGAGACAAAGTGAAGCAGGAGGAGGAAGTCTGCTGAGGTGGGGGTGGGGGCTGACGTGGATGGAGCACGGCTTGCAGATGGGAGGGCTGTTAATCCACGGCGGTTAATTGCGCGCTCGGGGTTGGCATCTTGTCAGCAGAGATAAGTTGTCACATTTTCCACTTGAGCTGAGACTAAACGATTGTAAAATAAGTTATGGCCGTCCTTGGGGCTGTCTTCCATTTGGGGGCTTGGTGCCCAACGAGCGCTCCTGTATATAAGAGTGTGTGTGTGTTTTGTGCACGTGTGTCTTCATCTCGCTGAATGTTATTTTATTCCACCACTAGTAACAGCTGTCAGCGGCCGCCGTGAGGAGTGGAGGGCAGGGAGAGAGAGTCCACTCCCTCCTCTGAGAACCTCGCTCGGCCCCAGGTCTGGCCCTCATGTCCCAGTGTATGTAGACCCAGACAGGACTCTGTAGTATTTAATCCACTCTGATCCTGACTCTGCCAATTTGTTAAGAGCCAAAGTGTTGCAGCTGAAGTTGAACAAAGAACTCGCACCCAGACAGGAAGCGAATGCTTGAACTTGTCTGCCACGCTGCCGTGGTTTAACCGGGTGGTGGGTGAACACTGGAAAAGTCCAATGTGACTACACCTTTAAGAGCCTTGACTGCAAAGGCTCTGTAACTAAATCTAGATTTTGAAACAATGAGAAGAGAAGGACTAGGGGACGATAAAATAAAAGGTCAGAAATACAGCTTAGAGATGTGGCTTCTGCCAGCTTTAACAGTAGTTAGTGAAATGTTATCAGCTGAAGAAAACAGATAGCCAGAGCAGGGATGCCCAGATCCGGCTGTAATGAAACCCACAGTAGCTTATCATCTTCTGCAGCTCTCCACTGTCGAGCCTTTTTAAGACTTTTATTGTGAAGCCGAGTCATCTTCCTGTAGTTTGTCACTGTCATTAGTAACTGAGAACTATTTAGTGCATACAAAACTGGATACACTGCAGATATATAAAAATAGTCACATATATTTACATACTCTGAAATATGGTATCTTCTTTGTATCCTCTGAATCTTCCAGATGTCTGCTTCAAAATAGCTCCAAATATCAACATTCCCACATAATACTTCCAGATATCTTCAAAAATATCTGCAGATTTATGTTTCCATGTACTTATGTATCACTACTCACTTCCAAATAGTGAATTAGATATGAAATATTGTGGCTATTCTTCAGCATGTTGTGTCACCAGATTAATTTTCAGTACTGCATTTAGAAAGAGTAGACTTGACACTCAACCTGTTTTTCTAGCGGTCAGTATAACAGGCACAGTCGTGACATTATGACATTATTCTTCTGTGTAAAGCTGGCGCTGTGCCTGAGGTGTTATACCAGGGATTGTGTTTTTTTAATTCCCAGACACAGGGCTGGGAGAGTCAGTCTGCTCCAGTCCCAGTATCTCCAGCACCACCAGTCCCAAGATGGAGCCACCTCCGTCGCCTCACGCCAACCGCAAGAAGCACCGGAGGAAGAAGAGCACCAGCAACTTCAAGGCTGACGGCCTCTCTGGTACTGCAGAAGGTAACACCACCCCCCTCCTCTCACCTTACACTTTCCCCGCCCAGGTCCAACCTCATCCTCATGTTTTCAAATGACTTGTAAAACTGCAAAATCCGCTCTTTTGATCTAACTGTTGACACTAATATTGAAGTATGAAGGCACTTCTGTTCAGATCCAGTTCTTCCCAGTGTGAACATGACACTGTTCATTTTGGACCAAGGTTGGAAACGTAGTCATGTGATCATCGGAGGCTCCTGACCTCTGCTGAGAGGGAAGGATCTGTCCATCCTGTCATTCTGTCAGCCTGTGAGCCCTCCATCTCTTTATCCTCTCACACTGCCTGCTCCTTCTTCTTCTTCTCTGTCTCTGTGTTTGGGTTTATCCCTGCTGTGATGCTGTGTCTGTAAATGAGTTTGTAACATAGCGTCTGGATCTGGACCCCTGTATCCTCAGACTAGAACAAGTAACAACTGGTGACACCGTGAGACTAGAGATGAGAGCGTGGTGCTAAACTGAAAATAGCCCGGAAGTCAGCTACTTCTTTTTGGGTACAGTACTGTCCTTATAGAAACACCAGCATGGATGGATTTTGAGACAGTGGGCCCATGAGCACAGATGTGCAAAAGGCCCTGCATCACAGATTGTGTGTAGTCACTTGGTGTCTTCTTGTGGTTATTTGTGTCCCCATGTAGTTGTCCTGCATCTGTTTTTACTTGTTTTTGTGTGTGTGAATTGGTGCCACGGACGGCTGCCTCGGTTCTGTACCAGAGACAAATTCCTCATGTGTGTAACATACTTGGCCAACAAAAGTGATTATCATTAAGTGTTTGCTTCGAAAAGGCCGACCTCTGCAACCCAGCTCAAACCTGACCGGTCCTACACAGTATCAGACTTTAAGTGTCTTCAGATGTTGTGTATTTGCACATTTCTTTAC